AGTTCTCCTGATTGAACCCTATCTCTTGTCACAGCTGAAGTGCCAATCCTTCAACGTGTTTATCTCATCTCCAAAGGACTTTATTGCTGTCATAAACTGAGACTTGCAACATTTTGCAAGGCACCCACTCACTGAATTCTTCACTTGCCTCTACCAGCTACATCCCAGACAGCAACACTTGCAATATGTTCTTTTCTCATGGCTTTATTAAAACTTGATACTTACTTGGGGTTTTTGTTTCTTTTTCTTCCTTCTTTCCTTTTTTTTATTTTTTTTTCCCCAAAGCCTGGTTTAGATCATGTTTCTGGCAGTCGCTTTCTTCAGGTTGTGCTGCTGGCTTTGTTTCTGGAAAGGTCTGTGTGACCACGAGTCTGTGCAGTCTTGAATGTCTTCAGGAGTGTCATCCTGCTCTCCTGCTCTCTGAGCCCCTTTGCCTCCCACTGGATCTCAGAGATAAAGAGCACAGCTGACACATAAACATGTCATGGGTTTGGATTTGGCTTCACTGCAGTGCCAGCCTTTGATTTCCAGTTCATTCCCAGCAGTTAGATACATCTGAGTGGTTCAGGTGCTTTTTCTCTAGTGCATATTTGCTTCATTTACTTCATTTCTGCTGCCTGAGATTTCTTCTGGAATAGAATGAGGTGGGGCTGAGCAGGAGAGTGCTGCACTCTTGTGTTAAAGGGGAATTTCCCAACCCTTGGCAGCAAGTACCTCTGTGCAATTTGTGATGTTTTTGCAAGACTTGGGCTTGAACTCTCCTGGGGCAGTCTCAGGGTGTGCTCGGAGTTTGGGTGGGATCAGGATGTGGCGCAGTCGGGGTTGCCCAGGACACCTCAGCCCTGACCTCTGAGACAACTGGGATGCTCTGCAGAGCCAGCTGCTCCTTTGTTCCCCTGCCACAGCCCTGGGTGTTGAAGGGAAATCAGTGAATTTAATTGGAAAGGGATAGGAAGGAGCAGAGCCGGAGATTCTGCTTCTCTCCAGGGGCCTCAATTACTGAGGATCCAGACTGAGGGACAGAGCCCTAAACTTAAGAAGGTGACCAAAGATAGAGCAGTAAACTCTGAAGAAGGTGCTAAAGACTCTCTGTTTCCTTCCCTGTGCTGATTGCTGTGCCAGGATGCCCAGAGCAGGTTCCACGTGGGTGTGTGCCACGAGCAGGGCCTGGGGGTGCAGCAGAACGTGGCGGAAGCGCTGCGGCACTACCGGCAATCGGCGGCCGCGGGGAACAGACAGGCCCAGGACAGGCTGCGGGCATGGCAGCAGGAGCTGCAAGGTACAGGGCACCAGGGGGCTGCACGGGGAGGTGACCCCATGGAAATGGGGCCTGTGGTGCCAGAGGAGGGGTGGAACAGGGCCACGGCACAAAGGGAGTTCTTTGTGCGGAAGGGAAGGCACCGCGTTTCCTTCTCGGTTCTTTCCAGCCCAGCTGCAGAAGCTGTTCCCGTAGTATCATGTGTCACAGAATCATTCTGCTGTGTCCTGGGGGACACCAGGCACAGCATCAGCAGCTGGGCCAGGAGGGGATTGTCCTGCTCTGCTCTGCACTGGGACAGCCTCACCTCCAGTCCTGCAGGCAGCTTTGGGCACCACAGTATAAAAAAGACATGAAACCATTAGAGAGTGTCCAAAGGATGCCACGAGGATGGGGAAGAGTCTGGAGGGGAAGTCTTGTGAGGAGCAGCTGAGGGCACTTGGTTTGTTCAGCTGGAGAAGAGGAGGCTGAGGGCAGAGCTCATTGTGGTTTTCAATGCCCCTCCTAAGGGGCAGCACAGGGCCAGCTCCAGTATCTGCTCCCTGTGACCCTCCAGTGAGGGAGTGGCTGGAGTTTGCCAGGGGAGGTTCAGGTTGGATTCCAGGAAAAGGTTTTTCACCCAGAGAGTGGTTGAGCAGTGGAACAAGCTCCCCAGGGCAGTGGGTACGGCCCCAAAGCTGTCTGAGTTCAAGAAGCATTTAGACAATGGTCTCAGGGATGGGGTGGGATTGTTGGGGTGTCTGTGCAGGGCCAGGAGCTGCACTCAATTATCCTTAGGGGTCCCTTCCAGCTCAGGGTATTCTGTCATTCTCTGGTTGTATGATCAAGTCCAGCCTTTGCCAGTGTCATTAACACCTTGTTTTTCTGTACTTTCAGATGTGCACATAAAGCATCCATTCCCTTCAGGATTAAGAGCCTCCTCCTCCAGCCCCAATTTCTGGACTATTGAGCCTGTGTCTGCAGGTCAGCCAGGACAGTGTGGCCTGACCCTGCCCCACTCGTGGAGCACAGGCAGGCTGCACGTGATGCTGCTCAGCAGTGCAGGGTGGAGCTGTGCCCTCAGAGCCGGGACAGTGCCACTGGAGCTGCAGGGCTGGGAGCCCCAGCACTGCTGGCCCTAGAGCAGGCAGAGGGCAAGACAGCCCTTGGTGTGGGCTGGAACCAGGCTGGCAGTGAATGGAAAGAGAAAGCTCTCTGTTCATGCAACAGGAGGCATTTTTAAATGTCTGGGGTTTGAGAATAAACTTTGTGATGTCTCCTACACTACCAAGTCCTCTGGTCCTCTTTCCTTGCTCACAGGGATGTTGCTTCTGCAGCTGCATTTCTGTATTAGTGCCAAGCTGTGGCTGCCCCTGGATCCCTGGCAGTGTCCAAGGCCAGGCTGGACAGGGCTGGAGTAGCCTGGGATGGTGGGAGGTGTCCCTGCCATGGCAGGGGTGGAACAGGATGAGCTTTAAGGTCCTTCCAGCCCAAACCATTCTGTGGTTCTGCAGCACAGTGGTGTGATCTGGGCTTCTAATTCCTGTATGTCTTGCTCATGGTTCCAGGGAGATTCACAAGCCATCGTATGGGGATGTTGGCAACTAAGCCTGGGGCTGTCCTGGCCCTCAGCCTCTCCAAGGCAAGTCCCCACAGTGCCCCTTCTACCAGCACAGTGTGGGCTGGCTCTGTGTCACCACGCTGGCAGTTTAATCTGCTTTCAAACCTGGGCAAGCCAGAGAGTGAATTCTCAGCATTAGGGCACAGTTTTGATGGGATGTGACAGATCCAGCTGTAGCAGTGAGGTGGCAGCTGTCCCCAGCCATCCTGCACCGTGTCCCGTGCCCACTCCTGCAGCCCTGGCAGGGAGCTGCTCCCACAAGCACACCTCTGTGAGACACAGCAAGCAAGGTTTGCTTCAAAATCCATCCTGCCCCTGTTTGTGAGCACGCCAGCTCGTTGGCAGCAGAGTGGATAAGGGATGCTCCCAGTGGGAAGGCACCACTGGCAGGCAGCAGCAGCAGGCAGCTGGTGTGATAATTTCTTCCACTGGGGCAGCTGAATCCGGAAAAAGGCATTTGTTCACACCAGTTTAAACTGGTTCAAGGGCATCTGTGCAAACTGCCCAGCTTCCTGTGGCTCTGGTGCTCTGTGTAGGTCGGGCTCTGCAAAACAAAGGCAATGGCCCTGTCCTGAACTTCTCCATGCAGCAAGGGAGGGGCACAACCAGCCCTCAACACATCTGATTGTTCTTCTGGTCTGCTCTCTCCTTCTGCTCAGACCAAACTTTCTTAGACCATTTCCTTTATGAAGCAGGATACAAGGAGCAGGAAATTCCTGGGGTGGATTTCCTATGCTGTGATAATCCAGAGCGTGCTTACGCATCGGTCAGGATGGGAGAGGGGCTGGGGGGGGCTGAAAGCAGTTTGCAGAATCAGGAAATTAAACCAAGAGGGAGGAATTTGTCTCCTTTTAAACCTGCTTGTTATAAAGTATTTTTGCGTAAGGATTGTCCTCTAACAGGGACATCAAAGCAACTTTGCAGAGGGAGATGTGAGGCTGTGCCAGGTGTTTGTCCCACTGCCTGTGCTCCCAAGGTGCAGAGGAATCCCACAGGGCTCAGTCATGAGCCATCAAATGCCTCCCTCATGGCTTGCACAGCTGCATCTCAGCTAGAATCTGGCTCTCTGACATTGTTTTGGTGCAAGAACCTGTTTTGTTTGTAAAACAAACCAGCAAGAGATTTGTGTTAGCAGAGCAGCAGCACGAGCAGGCCAGGCCAAACCCATCCGTGGATGGATGCCAGCCATGGGCTCATCTGCACAAGCATTTTGGAGACTTGAAAGAAAACAGAACATTTTGGATATTAAAAAGTCCACCTGGGGAAATCACACTCTGTTGCTCTTGTCATCTAGTCCCAGGAGCAACAGAAAGGGGGAACTTGCTCATTTACTCTGCTTTCAACAATCTGTGTGATTGTCTGGTGCCATGGCTCGGGTGTGTACACACCTAAAGCTGGGAGCTCTCACCTCCAGGTGCACGGGAAAGAGCAGGGGTAGTTCTGAGATGGTCCAGGAGAGCCCAGAAGCCCTTCCCTGCCATCCCCACACTGCTGCATGAGCCTGTGGGTCAGCACTGTCCTTCCCTCCTGCAGGAAGGCACAAACACCTGTGTGCTTCTTTGTCGCCATATCTTGGTTTTTCCCACCCATGCTATTACCCCAAAACTGTCTTACAGCTCCCAGACAGACAGATCAAAGTGAAAACCCATAAAAAGGGTGAAGCTTGTGACTGAATATTTCAAAACAGTGTTCTCACACTTCCCTTTTCCCTGGTTACCTTTGGCAGACTCGAGCCATCTGGTGTCTGCTTTTGGATAAGGACTGTGCTCCAAAATCCAACAGCCTCAAAGGACAGAACAGACTAGAATGGAATTGTTAAGGTTGGAAAAGACCTCTGAGATCACCAAGTCCAACCTGTGATTGATCCCCACCTTGTCACTCAGCCCAGTACCACATCCAGTCCTTCTGGAGGAGGAAGCTGTGGGCACTCGGAGCAGCCATAGGAGAGATGCCAGTGCTGATTTTGGGGGCTTTTACAAAATGCCAAGTTCCCAGTGGCAGAACCACAGAAGCTGGAAGGACCTGTGGGAGACAACAGGCACATCTCCCCTTCCCCAGCTGCCACTTCAGGCTTTCTGCACATCTTTAATGTCAGCTACACTGCTGACAGAGAGGGTAGTGTTAGAAAAAGATTGGTTTTATTTAAATTACTGAAACCCTGGAGCCCAGCTGCAGCAGTGTCCGTGACAGGTATTTCCACAGCCTGTGATCACACATCTCCCTGTGCTGAGGTTGTTCTCAGCCCCCTTGTCCTGTCCTGGGAGGAAAGGGCCCTCCTGCTGCTGGCTGGGACGGGAGGCAGGCAGAGGACGAGGGTGAGGATGGGCAGGAGAAACAGGTGAAATCAGTCACGGAGAAATCCCATGGGGCGAGGCAAAGGAAGAAATAAACCTGGCTAGGCATGGCTCCTACAGTGCCAAGCCCACCCCAAACCTCTTTCCTGTTCTCCCCCAGCTACAGCCCTGGAGCAGCATCCCCCAGGCCGTGGCTGCGGGCCGACAGCTGCCGCAGCAGCCCCGCGCCCGTCTGGCCGTGCTCCTGCGCCTTCTGGGACAGGATCAGCTCAAACAGGGTGCTCATCTCCGACAGGAAGGTGCTGGCCAGCCTCGTCCCGCTGCCACCAGCGTCAGCCCCAGAGCCTTTGCCAAAGGTCTCAAAGGTCCTGGGTTTCTCCTGCCTCGCAGCATCCTCATCCTCGGGGCAGTGCGGCGAGTCGGGGGAGAAGACGTTGTCCTTGTAGCTGCTGGTGAGGGGCAGCGACAGCCGGGCCACCCACGCTGGGTCTGCAGCTGTCAGCCTCCTGAGGGCCAGCTCTGGGGAGGGACAGCACAGAACGGGGGGAGAAAATAAATTAATAAAAATATTGATAAGTGGAAAATATCTAAAATCGGCCGAGAGGAACGAGTGTAAACGCATCACCGGCAACGCCATGCAAAGCAGCAGCTAAAAAAAGCCAAACAAACTGGTTTGAAACTATTGGGGGTTTTGTTTTGTTTTTAATATAATAACCATTAGAATCGCTGTGCATTCTCATTTGTTGCAGTCTCAATTGGCACTTCACTAAATTGTTAGCAAAGCCTGAGAGAGGGAGGCTTTAGGACTGGCCGAAGGGGAGCAGACAATGAAAAGCTTTCCAGGGGGAAGTGTTGGACACAAAGATAGTGGACTTCCCTTCAGGGTCACTCCAGGGTGGGAATTTGCTGCTAAGGAGGCAGATTGAGACCGAAAAGAAATGAGTTCTTGTGAAAACAATAATACCAGAATGAAATTGTGGAATATAAAATGCACAGCTGGATGGTTGGAGTCTGGGACCGAACAATTGAGCTCTAAAGTAGTTGTTCCTCGATTGGAAACAGCTGAGGAGCAGGGGGAGCCTGGGCTGGGGGCTGGGGCAGGCTCGTTAGTGCACCACTAATTTGATTGTGGCCCAAAATGGGCAACTGGAATCGCACAGAGGATTGGTCAGGGCATTCCCTGCTGGCAGGGAGGCACAGCCAGCGTGAATTGTTACTGGCTCTGATCAGGGGAATTACACACAAATCTGATTATCCATCTGTGGGAGAGGGAGCTGAAACGACACTGGCAGGGAGAACTGGGGAGATGAAACCAGGAGCGATCCGGGCTGACACAATGGAGACCCCAAGAGCCGGGGGTTGCTGCTCCTGAGGAAGCAAGGAGCTCTCCAGGGATCTGACTGCAACCTGTCGTTTTGCTGAGGAGATAAGCGCCAGCAGAGGAAATCTTTATGCTTAAAATAGCGTTGGCAAGAGAAGAAGTGATTATAGCTGTCCATGAATAAACATCTCCTGGAAAATAAAGGAAGGACCCCATAGCAGGGAGAGCCTGGAATAGCCTCCTCGTCAGACAGCAGGAAGGGGAACAGGGATTCTTGTTTTTTGAGGTGGCTGGTAAACAAGAGTCCGTGCTGTGGTGCACAGAGACTGCATTCCAGCCCCTCATTGTTCCTTCCCAAAGCACATCCCAGAACCTCAGGGGGGTTCGGAGCAACCACCCGCATTAGGAAAGGTCTTGGGAGCAGCAAAACCTCACTGATAACAAAGCCCAGCAGGCCCAGGGTGGCAAGGGCTGGTGTCACTGTGGTAATAATTGTGTGGTGCTGATTAAAAAGTGGCATCTGAAAGGAGGGTCCCCATTCCAGTGCTCTTATCCTGCAGGTTCCAGAGGGTGATGAGCACCCTGCCACAGCTGGGACCTGCCTGGGGTCTGCAGCCAGTGGCTGACACCAGGCTCCTTCCTCAGCCTGCAAGCGCTCCTTGTTCTCCAGAGAACCCCCTGGGATGGGCTGGGGGACTCCAGCCTGGCCAGGAGAGAAGGGCAGCTACATCCCTTAGATTTTTGTTTCAGCTGGAGCCCAAAATTCCTTGTGTGCTGCTTCACATGCAGGGTTTCTTTCTGCAATCTCGGTATTGAGTCACAGTGCCCGTTCCTGGAGACATCACCCCAGTGTGCTGCGGGTTTTGCTGTAAAACATGCAGTTTTCTCCTCCTCAGTCTGCAAGAAGCCACTTCATTCCCTGAATATTTGGCTGCTCAGCTCTGGAGCAGGGCTCAAGCGGTCTGCTCTCTGCAGGGAGAGCCGGGCTGACGGTCCCGTGGCCATGAAAACCTCATAATTAGGGATGTTTAATTTGACCAATAACTCTTTACTGCCTTGTTTTAATGGTGTTTGGGGAGCAGGGGTTGTTTTTATCATCCATAAAGTTCTATCTCTCATCTGCTGCTGGGAGTGCTGTGCTGGGGGATCAGAGCTAACAGACGGTGCTGGGAGTTCATCCCGCAGCATCAACAATCCCAGAGCTGCCTGGGATTGCAGTCCCCCCGCTGGGAACAGCACAAAGGCCCAGCCAAGCCTCAGCCAGCTGTTAGGATGCTCCTGAGCACCAGCAGTGCTTCCTTCCTCCCTCTCAGGATGCGAGTCCACAGCTCTGTTTGTGTTTGGGAGAGGAGGAAGGAGCCCGGCAGCTCCAGCGGCTGCGCTCGGCCGCCTTTGAGGGAAGGTCTGGGCTCCTGGGGAGGGTTTGGCAGGCTGCCCAGGGAAGCGGTGGGATCATCATCCCGGGAATGGGGATGTGGCCCTGGGGATGGGTCAGTGCTGGACACGGCAGTGCTGGGGGAACAATGGGCTGGGAGGGCTTTTCCAGCCCTAATGATCCTATGGAATTCCAGGACTTCAGCCAAAAGGGGTTTTGTCCTATCAGATCCAAGAACCACGGGAGATGGCACTTCATGGATCAGCCTCACCATAGCCCAGATTTTCCATCGTTGTGTGGGCAGGACTGGATCCAGAGGTCCCTTTTCTGGGATCAGAACATGTCAGATCACCTGGGATGGAGCTGGGCTCCCCTCTGCTCCCTGCTCCTGGCTGCAGGACCTTGGAATCCGAGGAAACTTTTAGGTCTCAGCCTTTCCTTCATTTGCTCCTTACTGGAATAAAAGAGCAGGGAGGCAAAGGGGGAGAAGCAGCAGGCGCTGTCCCTAAGGAAGAGCACCAAAAATGCCCAGCTCTGGAATTCAAACCACCCCAGCAGCAAAGCTCAATGAGTTTCTCTTCTGTGGAGGAGCACAGAGGCTCCACAATGAAATTTCTGCTACAGGACATGAGTCAGCCCAACTCTTTCAAATTGAAATGCCAGGAGAGGAGATTTTTAGAACAAATCAATAAAAGGAACATGTAGAAAATGTCAGGCCCAGATGGTATTCACCCCGGAGTGCCAGAGGAACTCAGATATGAAATTGCCTGGTTTATTAGCTGCTGTTCATTAACTACTGCTCCAAATGAATGCGGGATCAGAGCGGGGGGAGGTGGAAATGGTGACAGGAGTTTTTAAGTGAGTGAAGGTGAATCCAGCCCAGGCAGATTCAGAGAAATCCTTCTGTGCAAGGCTCAGCAGAGAGAGCCATGGAGCTGCTGCTCCCAGAGGAACCCCCTGACATTGTCACATGGGGAATTGTCTTCTGGAAATTTGGAAGGGCTGGATGGAGAGCCCTGGATGACTTTAGACAAGGGATGGAGGGACAGGACACAGGGAATGGCAGGGCTGGATGGGATATTGGGCAGGAATTGTTCCCTGGCAGGGTGGGCAGGCCCTGGCACAGGGTGCCCAGAGCAGCTGGGGCTGCCCCTGGATCCCTGGCAGTGCCCAAGGCCAGGCTGGACGGGGCTTGGAGCAGCCTGGGACAGTGGAAGGTGTCCCTGCCATGGCAGGGGTGGCACTGGATGATTTTTAAGGTCCCTGTCAACCCAAGTACTTCCAGAATTCAATTCTGTGAAGGGAGAGGTCACCTGAGCTGGTGGAACAGCAGCAGCCAGGCTTGCAGGGAACCTGAGCTGTGCCTGAATTTACAGCCAGGATCCATAGGGACTAATATGTGTTAAAAGCTGGGAAGTGAGGCTAGGAATAATTAATCTTCCTCACCAGGGGAGGTCATTAGCAGAGTCCCACTGCTCAACACAGTGACAAATGACATGGAAAGGGGACAATGTTGGTGTTGACTCCACTAAAACACCCAAAAGCAGAGGGTTGCTGAAGGACCTGATAATGCTGAGTGCCATGAGCCAAAGGTGGCTGGTGAATTTCTGTGTCACCAACTTGTCCCAGGGAACAATGACCTGTCATGTGCTGATGGCTCTCCCTCCACGCAGAGGAGGGACTGAGGAGTCACAACAAACAGGGCTCAGTGTTGGACAGGACAGGAATGAGGAACAAACCAGAAAAGCTCCTCGTACCCCCAGTGCATCCTAAAGACTGTGCACAGTTCTGGTCACTTCTCTCAAAAAAGATAAAATTAGCAGCAGGTTGGTCACAGGACACGAAGAGGAGAGAGGAACCTGACGGGGCTCTGAGGGTAGGTAACATCTTGAGGGGTTTGACAAGGACAAGTGTCCACCTTTCTCCCTCTGCAAGGACCAGGAGAGTATGAAGGGAGGGCTCAGGCCAGCGTGGGAAGCAGCTCAGCAGCTGCAGTGTGAAACTCACCCCTCAGCAACAACAGAGACCGAACTCACACATCACTGAACCCTAAACCACAGCAGACACGTCCATGGGAGGGAAGAGCACCCATAAACACGTGGAAAAATCCAACATGAAGCTCTCAGCAAGTGTCTTGGTACCAAAAGCCTGGGAGGGTCCAGACACGCTGCCCCGAGCACTGCCCCAGCCAGAGCCTCCCCGGGAGGTGCGATGTGCCCGGGCAGTGCAGGCCAGCTGCACCTCCTGGGGGGTGAGTGTGGCTTTCCTGGGGAGATCCCACTGCTGGAGACCCCCCACCCCACCCCGTCCCAGCAGCGAGGTCACCTCACCTGCCTGTGGCTCCAGGAGGGTCTCCAGCTCCTCTCCCACGAGCTGCTGCACGGAGAGCTCGAAGGCGCTGTCGCAGTCGCGGTCCCCGGCCTCGCTCTCGCCGTGCCCGCTGTCCTTGGTGCTCAGGCAGTCCGTGTCCAGCCCCGTCTCCAGCCCTGTGTCCAGCCCCGTGTCCAGCCCCGTGTCCAGCCCCGCAGCCCTGCCAGGGTCACAACACCCAGGTCACTCCAGCCCCCAGCACAGCCCCAAGGAGCCCTTGGTGGTGTCTCGGTGTCCCCAGAATGCCCCGGAGAGGGGCTGTGGACACCCATGCATCGCTCTCAGAAGCAAAGGCATTTTCAGTGCCCATCAGTTAATGAGTTTGGGGAGTTTGCTCCCCATTTCTTGCCTGGAAGGGTTTTTATCCTTCTGCAGAAAGATCTTAGAACCACGGGAGGGTTGGGAGGGACCTCAAAGCCCATCTCATTCCACCCCCTGCCATGGGCAGGGACACCCTCCACAATCACAGGTTGTTCCAAGCCCTGTCCAACCTGGTCTGGAACAATTCCAGGGATCCAGGGGCATATCCTGAGCAAGCAGGGGCCTGCTGACCTGGTGAATGCAGAGGAGCTTTCCTCCTGCAGGACCAGGTAAGGGGCACCCCAGAAAGCCAGAGCTGCTCTCCCTCCTTCTCCACCCTCTGCAGCTGCAGGTGAGATAGTTGGAGAAAGCTGTGGCTGCCCATGGCCTGGCCAGGTGGGGACAGGGGATGTGGCAAGGCAGTGATGAATAATCAGGAGTGTGCACCCAGGACACACAGCACAATTTAATGGGAACACCCTGAAGTTTGGGGATATCTCTGGCACACAGCTGGGATATCTCAGTGTTTCCAGCCCTGCTGCAGGTCCTCACTCATCTAACCCCTGGCAGGGTCAGGTGTCCCAAACTCATGTTGACAGGCACCAAGAAAATGCCCAGAGCCATGGGAACACTCATCCTTGTGCTGCTGCCTCCAGAGCTGGGCCCCTCTGTGCTCCTGAGCACCCAGAACCATCGGAGGTTCATGGCTGTGGAGGAGCTCAGGTGAGTATGGAGGGACTGCCAAAGGTGCCCCAGGAAGGAAGCAAAGAGCAGCTGGATATCACTGGGAGCCAGGGCCAGAAGAGCACAACCAGACCCTGAAGGGAGAACCTCCAATCTTGGGGGGATGAGGCTTTTCCTTGTGTGTCTCTGCCCTGGTGTCTCCTGCCCTCAGAAGTTTTGGACTGGTGGGGCTGGAGCAGGGGCAGGGGGCGTGGGGAAGGGAAGTGCTGGGAGCCAGCCTTACCTGCTGCTGTTCTTGGCCGTGTACTTGTTTCCCCTGTAGTTTGTTTTGGGCTGGAACTGGCCCTGGTGCAGCAGGGAGAGCAGCTGGGAGATTTGCTGCAAGGCAGGAAAAGCCTGTTGAGCCCCGGGCTGGCCACTCAAGCTGCTTCCTGCCAGGACGTCCCTCCGAGCCCCCCGGCCTTTTTATAGCGTTTCCTCCTGCTGCAGATGGCTCAGCATCCCCACATCGGGGGAAAAACAAGCCCTGGCCAGCCCACCTGGGCCTTGAGCTTCCCCTGCACCCTCCTGCTGTTCCTGCTGTTATGGGATTGTCCCCTTGTCCCTGTGACAGCCCCGCTCCCACGCGTCCTGCTGGGGTGACATGTTCATCCCAGCCAGGCTACTGAGGCATCACTGCCCCGGCCCGGGGGAAGAGACCAACCAAAAACCATCAGGTCACACATTCCCACCACCCCAGGGTGGGCAAGGCCCAGGCAAGGAAGGACTGGGAGCGTCCACGCTCCCAATGAATGGCCGGAGCAGCTCCTACCTGCACTGGAGGTGACTCCATGGCAAACTCCCCGGTGGGGCTCTGCTCCGCCAGGGCCACCAGCGACAGCCGGACCAGGCTCCTGAGGATCTGCTGGTGGGGTTGGGGCTGCTCGGGGGGCACCTGGGGCTCTCCCGTGGGTGGCTTCAGCAGAGGTGTCTCAGTGGGGCTCGCAGCCTCCTTCCCTGCGTGTTTGGGTCTGTGGGGCTGGCAGGGCCGGCGCTGCAGGATGGGCAGCTCAAAGGCGCCCTGCTGCTCCTCCGAGTCTTTGGGTGTCCTCTGATTTCTCAGGGTCCTGTAGAGAGTGGGGGTGAGGTGGAGGGGAGCCGGTGGGGTGGCAGCCGTGCCAGGCTGCTCCTGCTGGTG